CGTCCTTCAGGGAAAACAAAGTGGCATTTCTGATGATTAGCTGTTGAATCAGTCCGAGGTTCGCACTGTTCTTTCGCAAATGTGCGAGGCTGTCGATTCCAGGTTCGCCGGAGCAGTTCAGCACCACACCTATGACGGTGTTCTGGCACTCACAGCTGGAACCGACGACCGCCTTCGGGGGACAGCTGCCTGATATCAGCACTGGGTACAGAAAGAGCAGCAATACTGCCCTTGCGGTTGTGGGCATGTTTCAGACCGGTTTGTTGCGCCGCTGCTAAAATGACCAGCTCACAAAGCAGAACAGTAAACGACTGCTTATTAATATCTGAAAAACTCGAACTGGTTTACAGCGGGAACAGCGCGTCATAGCATAGAAAATATGAAATTGCATATGATACATATCTGATTCGTTTCCCATTGGCAACTTGACACGTTTTTCAAAAATTTCGGCATGTGCAGAAGTTCAGCTGAGAAAACCCTGTGTGGGTGAAGCTCAAAATTTTGAGTCCCTCTTTTCGTCGAGTATGGATTGGATCGAATGGGTCGTGAGACTCGTGCGGACGAGCAGATTAGCATATCCGTAGACAAGTGACACCTCAGTTGTACATCCATTTCCTTTGCTAGATGCAAGCTTTTAATGCTACACCGGATCTGCACTTGACAAAACCACTACAACAGCTGCTCATCTACTTCGTAGCCGAAGGACGAAGCCCAGACAACCGACAATGAGGTCAAGAAAATTGGACCATGGACCGTTTTATTTCTCAGTGTCCAGTCGGGAAGTAGTGGACAGTAGAAGTAGTCAATTTTTAGAGCATTACGCCAAAGGCCATGCGCTGGCGCATCGTCTCCAGCCAAGAGATAAAAGAAGCTGTAAATTGCACAATATTATAACTAAAATATTCAAATTCAATTATTCAATTCGATGTTATGTCTATTAAATACCTAGAAGCATTCCCACCTGTTCAGTCGAAGAAGTCATACTTCATTTTAGATGATTGATTAGGTATTTTTATCATGCAAGAACGGTAAATCATCCTTTTAAATAACTGGAGTGATTTTAAATGGAGTACGTTCGAACAATTTGTAATGTGCCTTTGGTTGATAATGATTTATGAAGTTAACTTGCAATCATTGCTGCAGATCTAGTCCAAAACGCTTACAGGAGAATATCGAATGAGGAACAGTAACATCGGATCTTGAGAGCATATTTGAATTCAAGGAGAGGCTTCCTTCCATCTAAGTGTGTTGTATCTCCAAGGTAATTTGTAAGATATACTTTAGCTTAATTATGTCGAGTCTTTATATTTTGAAAGACCTTCTTATCTAATTGTAGAAGGTAGAACAAGCACCTTGTCTACAAAGGACAGAATGAACAAAAATGATAAAAACAAAAAATTCATCACGTTTCATCGTTCCCATAATTACTCATGGCTAACCGAAAAGTACTAGTCATCTGCTACTTCACTAAGAGTGCTTCATTCTATAATCTGCCTATAGTTCACATTTTATGACAAATTACTTCAAACGATATTGCTGAATGAGCTGATCAAGGAACAGAGCTTTTCTAAATTCCTCAAGACCAAATTTCGCAACTTAATGATGCCTATTTCCTCCTGATCGCTTAAGAGAGGATAATTTAAGTAGGCCACGCTTCTACGGTACCTCAGCATCAGCATTGCGAGACCATCTCTCATGGTTTGTGGTGTGACATGAAGAAACATCTTGTGCTAATCGCACCGACCTTTGATCGACCCTTTGAACTGCAGAACAGTTAGGCTGAAAAACCATCGAATGTGGACAGCACAATTGCAGCGTCGATATTTCAGCACTGATTATACATAACCAGTCGACTAGGAAGTTAAACCCTTAGTTGTCAATGCTAATTTGCCAACTGTACATGTCCAGGTGCAAATGCATAATCATGGAGACTGGTTGGCCCTTGACAGTTATGAAAACAACATATGGGGCCGCCGCAGCCTCTGTGTACTGAATGTTGACCAAGTGCGTGACTACGCTTGTCTGTTTACCTCAGATATAAATCCTCTTTTGTTATAAAGTCGCAGACTATTTTCACATGCGATTTCGAGATACGGACTGTTCTGAAATATCATAAAGTGATTATGCCTGTATCGACCACTTCCGCCGGTACTGTCTACGAGTATTCCCATTTGTGGCATGATGTCACCGGGTTATGAACGATCGAATGCCGCACTGATGGCTAGCTGACGAAAGTATCAGACGAACTGACACACGGACTCCCGGCCTGGTTGAATAGAATAACTCACAAAGAGAACGAAACGTTCTCGAACCATTTACGTCATGCCCAGTAATAGCTGTAGGAGGACAATACAAAATATGAAAACAACTCCATGATGCATGCGACCATGGATATGACCCTTACCGCAATAGTGATTGTGGCCTTATATCAATATGAAATAAAATTTCTAACGGTGAGAGATAAAAATAATTGGGCCATTCTGCAGTTCAATCTATGTCACTCATTGAGGATGATGACAGAAACACAAAACATTAACTTCATGTCTTAGACGTGTGTAATTATAGAAGTATCAGCGGTATTCCGCAGGGTTCAGATATTTGACCAAATTATTCTGGCCTCAGATTCTCTAATGGCCCATCGCTTGAAGCAGGTAAATTTGTATGTTGACCTCGAACCTGACTGGTCATGTGATTAACCTTAGCGGGATATCATCATACCATGAACCTATATTGATTAAGGTTGGTAGCATACATTCAATAACAATTAACAAATTATCAAGTGGCCTTCGACGCGACTCGTCTTACATTCGTAAATACGGTGGTATTCGACAAATGCTCAAACTAGTTACCCTGAGAAATGGCACGAATCGACAGCCATTGCTCTGAACTTCCCAATTCCTACAGCAGTAATTCATGGCATTCTCCAAAATAAATACGCATAATTCGAATACGTTGATTTAGAACCGTATGTGAAGAAATTTATGCATGCCTCATGGGCAATTCTCTTCTCACTTAACCCAGTAGAATGCAGCAAAGGCTGTAGTTTGCCACGTGGCTGACTGATAACATGAAACAATCTCACTTACCTTACGTAGAAATAAGAACGAGATCCCTGATTCGTCTGTTTGGGACTACAACAGGAATATCATCTTTAGCCGCTGACCGTTTTGGGTTCATAGATTGGGGGCAATTATGGGAAATTAACTTCGTCACTTGGCACGTGATCTAGTAGCTGTGGCTGTGTCCCCTGACTGCAGCGAGAGTGCCAGGTCATGATCTGTGGATAGCACTGTCTATCGTTGATATCTACTTCATAAATCGTCAGTTTAAAAAGCAAATGTTAGCTAGTTTTATTTCCGGACCACCACAGAATGAACTAATCATTGAGAGGTACAATTTATCTGGAGTTTCCAGTTAGTAACGAAGTGGTCACAGATGACAGCTAATCACATGACAAAGGATTGAAGAAAAAAGCAAGTTCTCCGTATATATCACTGGTTGTTTTGTGTGGCAAAAAACTTGTAATTATTCAATGGAGAATGATGCCTTTATTAGTGTCTTGTTGTAATTTGTTGAACTCCATCGTTTAACCACATAAAACTGAAGACAGGACAGGTTTGCCTGGCATAAGGATGTTATAAGATGATAAACAGGAGGCAAAGCCCCTTCTCCAATCGAAGACTGTCAGAAAATGAAAATCGAAATGTAATAAAGGATATGAATCAGCTTCCATATGTACACCAGATATGCATCATATTAAGAAGGAGATTTTATTCGTCCAGTATAAGTGCCAAAATAACCGGTAGATTGATTATGATAATAATAATTGATATGCAAAATAATATAGAAAAGCAGCTATTTCGAAATCCTAGACATACTGAAGCACATAAGAAAAACGGCATAATCCACAGTCACTGGATGGCAGGCCTTTAATGGTTTCCCAAAGTGTTGCACTATATCCTGCAGTGTAAAAGAACCATAAGGCCACAAACGAGAAGGTGCTGACAACTACCAAATGAACTCAGAAACCAACGCTCGGCAAAATCTGATAAACCGGACTAGAAGGATGCTGGAAATATTTTCAAAGCTTCTCTCGCTTGGGAATGTTTCAATAGTCACACAGGTGCTGGAGGGACAATATAAAACGTGAAAGCGCATCTTTGAGGCATACCTACTTGCGAAGAGGAATATGACCTCTGCAGCAGCAGTGAACGTTGCCGAATAACAATTTGAAGAACCTCTTCTGGCATATAAATTTCTGTTATTCTGCTGCTAAAGCTAAGTTAACCACAGATGGCCAATGAAAAAACAAAAACAAAGGCTCCTCAGCTCGAGTTTCATACAGTTTCTTCAATGCAAAATTGGTAATCTTCGGTTAACGTTGATTTTATATAGAAAAAACTGCTCCTCCAACCTCTAGAGATATTATGCCTTGAAGAAAGCTCGTGAAACAGGCATGAAAACGTTTGGTAATCATTTACCTTTCAGGCTGAACCTTTTGCGTTGCGTACGATAAGACAGTTGATATGATGTTCTTCACTGTAGTTTCGAACTTAGAAACAAAATAGTATTCCGTAGTAATTTAGAAATCGTTATCCTGTGCCATGCCGTGGACGATTAGAAATGCGCGACCGTTCTTTCCAATTCATTATTTGGCTAAGAAAAGGCTGATTTGCTTCCTCTTACTGTCGCTAACCACACAATTGCAAAGGACGGTAATCTGTCAGATGGGACATCTGCTGATAACTCTATAAATCTGAATTAAAACCGGTTGTTGACCCTTTGACATATAAACGAAGCGAGCAAATAATAACAATTGGTATAGGTTAAGCAGTGGAAACATAAGAAATACAGTATTACTGAATCGTGTTTTCATCTGTCATACCATCTTCGACCTGGATGGCACTCTGCTATACACGTAGTTTCTTAAGTTCTATTTTGACAGGAAGTAGAAGTGATTAAATTTCATGAAGTAAAAGAACGCTGCTTCTCTGTGGCGAATGGTAAAATTGAAAAAATGAATACATTTTCAAAAGTATGAACATGTGCATATAAATAAAACTATACTATTACCGGAATATACCTCTATCAGTAGGCATGGGCATAAGTTATGACTTTAGCCGTGACTGAGCCCCCTTGAGTCTCTGAAACTCAACCACCTTAACAGCATCAGGCAGACCAGATGAACATTCGACGTGAACATTAAAGAACAGACATATGAACTCACCTCTATAAAACAGCCGGTGTTCAGAGGGTCGGGTTTGAGGAACAGCGTAGCACACGAGGTCGCGAGTTGTCTCGCCCCGTCGTGTCGTGTCGTCGACCGTCACACGGCTGTAACACGTACTTGTCGTCGTGGCTTAGTTATGGTGGCGACGACGATGTACATGGACTACGGGAGAGGGCGCTGCGCGGCGCCGGTTTCGATATCTGTCCGCCCCCCAGAGAGGTCACCGTCGACGGTGGCGTCCGGTGTCGATCAGCACCGTTCCTGTCGTGCCTGGCATCTTTAAATTGGAGCGTGGCGGCCAATGAACCCCCTGTCGGTTCTCTTCGTTCCTGCCCTCTATGCGGCTGCACTCGTCATACATGTGGACTCTCGCCAGCTGCTTCGAACATGGCAGACCAACAATTCATTTTCCGAGCGGTCGGTCGATCGTCGTTCCTCACCGCGTTGTTGTCATACCATTCTGGCCCGTTGTTTACGTTTTCCTTGTCGTCGAAGTTCCGTTGTTGTTTCTGTTTACTTTGCGGTTTTGTAGTGTCAACAGATTACATACTGGCCTCACTGAAGCCTCGCGCTAAGTCCGCATTGTTCGCCATGCGACGTTGCTTGCTGTATGAGGGCAAGTACCGCATCAGATGATTCATGGCTTCCGTTGTGACACCGAGTCAATGGAGGAAAAAGCATACGACTTTTTTATTGCTCTCGAACCGTGGTTGTCAGCATCGGGTCAAGCGAATATCGTCGCTACGAGTCACACCGCGTTCCAGTTTTACTCCAACAAGTCGGTTAGTTCAAATGCACAGTCGGCCCATTTGCACCGGCCGCCAGGTCGACATCGTATTTAATGCCGAAGCCAACACCTTAGAAGTCGTAAGGCCCACCCACGCTGAGGCAGAAGTGAGTTTGAGGCTCGAAGACTACTATAATGTTGCTGATCTGCCAAACTCATTGCATTCAATTGGCGAAAGGGAGAAGAATTAAAGGACCTTAAGCCGTAACTCCCAAAGAAACCATTGTTAAATTTTTAGATCATCTCATCAAAGTTTTCAAAAGAAGGTTAAGCTTTATGGATAAAATGAATGGAAGATGTGGAAAATACTCAGTAGGTCATTAAAAAATGGAAAAAAGTGACATCAACAGTTTATTCATTCATTCA